AAAACCGGATGAAGTTGTTGAGTTCCACAACGTTTTTCTCCGTCACAGGCGTTTGCTTTGCAACTGCCATTGGAACGGCTGGAATTGGTGCGGCACCAAGAGGCGTAGCATGGAGCAGCCAGCGTTGGTGGTAGAACTACTAGGAAATCGCCTACGCTCCAGTGTCATCAAACGTAGCTGGCTGGAAAATCGCTGAACTAGCCATTGAGGTTTATAGCCGGGAAAATCATGTATAAATAAATAGTGGATTTTACACATGTCACATTTGTCAACCCCTTTGGAATTCGTGGATTTTGGTGATGAGAACTACATGGAACTACTAGACGTACCAAAACAGATGGACTATGAGATTGGCGCTAGCAAGCATGACTTGGTGGCTCTGTACACACTTTCACTCAAAGTTTTGGGTGCTGTTTTCTGACCATAAGAACAGCAAACTTGAACATGATCGACTCGCACAAACATGTTGACCCTGTTTGGTGCCATGGAATGCCCAGCAGTTTCAAGTGGGTTAGAACATCTTCGAACCTTCATTTCTGGTGGCTTCACTTCGACCTTCGGGGTCCCCCAAAACTGTGTGATTTTTTGCAGGAAAGACAGGAAAGCCCATGCCAAGATTCTAGTCGTCCCGTGTGAGGTTGTGGATGAGCAGGCCGAGAGATGTCGAAATGCGAGATCGAGATCAGCCCATGGAAATCCATGGTGACCGCCATGGTGGTAGAATATGGGGGGGAACTAGCCATGAAATGGGAAATAGCTATGCAATTGTGGGTAGACCTTGGTTTCCTATTTCCCGGTTACTTTATACAACTGGCATGTTGGGGATATAGCTACCAATAGATCCGGTTTTCTTGGATTTTGGGGATGATGTGTGATTTTGTCATATTTTGTCTACGTAAATGGAGCACTTAATTTGGGGGTATACCCATTTTTTTTGACAAATCCATATCATTCCTGGGTGCGGTGGTTCTACACATGGTCAACTTCCTTTTGCAAGCGATGACTATGTCGGATGTTCGTCCACGATTGACTCATTGTTTCTTTCATTTTCTTTCTATACATGTTGACAAGTTGAGGATAGTTTGTACAAATACAGCACCGTATATAATAATACATACTGTAATCATATACTATATATAGACATAATTTTATAATATTATACATATATATATATACATGTACGTATATGGTATACTTTGGTCAAGTCCTTGTTTATCAACATAAAAGTTTCGTAGACAATGTAATTGTTTCATAGAAGCTGGCATCCTTTAATCATCGTTTCATGGAAGTGTTCATCAGTTAATCAAAAGTTCTCATCATTTCATAGAAGTTCTCATCAATTCATAAAAGTTGTCCTCGCTTCATAGAAGTTGTCATCGTTTTACAGAAATTGCAAGTGCTTCATAAAGATTGTCATCGTTTCAGAAATTGTCATAGTTTCAGAAACCCCCTAATAGCGTATGTGTTTCACTGCTTCAAAATAGACTGCATTTATTTGGAAAGGGCAGTCGCTTTTGCCTCGAACAAAGAAGACCAGCACAAAAGGGTCAAGAGTCCCAAGGACTTCAAAGTTAGCAACATCTGAAGGACTTCAAAGTATTCATATATAAATATATTATCAATCAATCATACATACATACATACATGCATGCATGCATGCATGCATGCATGCATGCATGCATGCATACATACACATTGAATACAATATGCATATATATATATATAGAATTATTTACTATGTACACAAATATCGTACAGGTTTCGGGACAGGTTGAAGTCACCATGTTCAGACCTCCAGTCCTGGAGCCTTTCTTTGTCGTCGCAGGTCGTGCTGAAAGATTCCGACCAGCTTCAAGGCAACGGATCTGGTTTTTTTTCGGGGGGAAACCATGGGAAACTAATGGGGAAACCTGACAAAAACCTTGATGATTGTACCCATAGGATCCATGTATGCCATATATGGTAACATTTACTTACCATCAATATACCATCAATATACCCCAGTCATGTTAGCATATATACCAGCACCATGGATCCTATGGGGTATGTTGGTCTGAAATGATTGGGAACATGTTCTGTTTTTTGACTGGTGCATGAAATCTCATTTGGCCTAATGACATGGTCTTTTTGTTTGGGCGACACCAGAGTTTCAGACACTACTGTGATATTGATTCATAACTAGGTTGACGTTTGGGTTTCTAGATGTTTGGATTGAGATTTTTGATTTTATTCTATGACGTGAATTGCAAGGGCTTACACAGCGATTTGCTGCAAGGCTGCCTTTGTATTGGTTGCTAGACAGGGATTTCTCGTGGAAGCCCAAGCCGTCGCCGATGGATCCCTACCGCCCGCTGCAGGTACTGCAGATCCCAGTCGGATCGTTCAGGCAGCGGCCGTCGCGGGATTTTCACTCGCTGATAACAGACTCTGGTAATTTGTTACATAGCTAGTGGATTTTCCATAGTTATATTACCATTTATAGTGGATTTATATGCAAAATCACCATGTTCAATGTTTCATTGCCATTTAGTTCGTGGATTTACCCATTGAACAAGGTGATTTTCCATAGTTATGTAAACGTTTACCAGAGGATAATGAGTGGTACAACGACCTCACCCAAATGATGCCAGGAACAAGATGGAAATTGCGGAGCTCCAACAAGGATATAGAACATGTCTAGATCTACTCATGGTCACACCCAGGGCTGGCCTGGAAGGTAATGAAATGTTGACAACTGTCCTACTAGCTCAACCACTCTTAAAACCACAATCTAATTGGGTTTGGGCATTGTTTGCCGGTGACAATCATGGACCCAATGAGTCTAGAATTGCAACAGACTGTTAGCAACCTTTCGATGCCCAATCAACTCCGACCTTTGCTGCTAAGGAACGTCAGAAAAAGTGTCTCTTTGATACAGGTATGGGCTTCCAATCCCGATTTCCCCATTCTTGCTGGGTCAAAATGCAATATTTAAATTCCAATTTATGCTGGTGAAATCCACATCTTTGGAGGATGATTAGTTGGGGATTGGTCCATCCTCATATATATATATGTATATATAGTATATGAATATGTGTATGAGTATATGATTATATGTATATAGTATATATATATGTATATATGGACCCATCCACAGTCCTGTATATGTATATGATATGAGTCAGCAACCCACCTTGGGTTGATGGAATTGTGTATATCATTTGTCCTACTGATCAGCAACTCCTACTTGGATGATGCAGGTCTGCATCCGACCGGACCCTCTACAAGAACAGCTTCCCGCGTGACGCGGCATGAAGGGAGTGGGATAGGCGACCGGGTCTATGCCGGTGTAATGTTCATGTTCAGTCAACCAGGATGGATACAGACGGATGGTTCAAAGTATGGTTCAAACAAGTGAGGGTGGTAGAGCGGTCACCTCCAGATGCGGTTTGTAAAACCCAGGAAACCAACTGCGACAGGATGTTTGCAATTTTACGACACTATAAATATGAACTTGTTTTCAAATTCAATATACAATGAAAAAATCAAAGCATTGCAGATCCAAATATGTCCCGAGTGCACAAATGTGGATATCATTTGACTGCATTTGACTACTATATACTACTATTATTCAATTCACTTCTGCAGATGTTAAAATTTGCCAACCCAGTGATTTTGCAGCTCCCAGAGACTTTGTATGTCTAGTGTCTAGTGCTCGGAGAGGTGGTGCAGCCACCCACAACGTAACGTACCCCCAAGCCATGGCTCCACCGTGACCGACCCGATCCACCCGTGACACCTCGGCTCTCGCCGATTGATACCATCCGTCGCCACACCTGGTACAAGTTCACAAAGATGGCTTTGGGGAGTCACCTGAGCTAAGTGAGCTGTCAGCCATCATGAGTCGATTTTTGCGCGGGCCGGCTGCCGGAATGCATTTACGGAAAGGCGTTTTTTAGCCTTGGAAGAGACAAACAGAAACCATCTCCTTGCGGCAACTTTCTGGTCTTCAGACGAAACTTCTTATGCCACATTTGGCCATATATTTCCCTGCGCGGCTCTACCCGCGGTCACTGAATACGGGCTCAGTTGCGGAAGCGTCACGTCAAGGAACGTGAGCTCTATGACTTGCCGCGTCTCTTTTCGAGTAGGCTTGGAAAGTCCATGGACTGCTGGGCTGGAGTTTCCTCTACTGCAGAGCCTGTGCACCATAAACTTAGCCAACTGCACCCCCGCAAAATGCAGATAGGTCAAGAAATCTCAGTGCTTTGATCCTTTCATGTTTTAATCATTGTTTCTTGAATAATCATTAACCCCTACTGTGCATTCCAACCGATCTGATCAATTTGTTTGGCTGGTGTTCCTACTCATCATTTTATAAAAAACAAACGTGTTTCTTCAGAGTCCATAGTATGTCCTTTTCCCTTCAAAAACACGTTTTTTTAAGAAAAATAGTTTAATTTATTTCCCAAAGCTCGCCATTTGTTCCTCGCCATTTGTTCATCAGCTGAGTTTGTTGGGCTGTGAAAAGTGGTCAGAGTTGGAAGTGCTGAAGGATGTGGACCTTCAGGAGCAATCCGCTGGATGGCAGCGTTGTTCCCCATGGCTAGGGATTCCCAGGGTTTGGTTAAGATGTGTGAAGGGGATCCCTTGTTGATTTTCACACTAGCAAATCCGCCAGGAAAAGATCAATGTATGAAGCATTATATATACATAACATAATATAACCTTTAGCTGCTTATGATTGGCCATGATGGGATTTTATCCTGAATGAAATTTCCATGGTATCCCTATAGGAAAATCATCTAGAAATGATGCCATCATCAGATTCGTTTGTCACTCACCAAGCCGTTAAAATCGGGGAATATTTGGCTTTGTCAAAAAGTAACTGGTTGGTGGTTTGGAACATTTTTTATTTTTCCATGTATTGGGAAGAATAATCCCAACTGACTAATATTTTTCAGAGGGGTTGAAACCACCAACCAGGTAAGCTTTAACCCCAAGTCAGTGCATTTTTAAAGATGCCAGTCCCCGGGCAAAAAATCGATCAATCACAGGAGAGCGGCTTGGAACTGCTACCAGATGTTTTTGGCGAGAAGCTGCCGAGGCCCGGGGCCCAGTCCTGACGTCGTGGTTTACCGTTCGAACGGTGACGGATTTGACCAATAGTTAAACTGGAGATGATACCAACCAACATGGAGGATGAATAATTACAACATAAAATAGATTTTTAAGCATCATTAGTACAATCATTAGTAGGACTGATTTGAACGGAACATCCACAGGTAGCTATTGTTTTAACCTGTAGATACATCGGATTCCTCTAGATGTTACAATGTTCCTCCATTTTGTTGATCATCTACAGTTTATCATGCCATGTTTCATATTGTCTCATATGATTTATCATCCGAATTGATCATGAGCCGAGGCTGAAAACTTTGCGTCTCTCGCAGAACCGGCTGCGCTTGTTGCCCCGGAGCTTTGGTGCGGGGGCCTGGAGATGTGGAAGGGTCCCCTTCCACGTCACAGTAGGGTTCACACTCATCCTGGAATAATGTGGGTAAAACAATGCCAGAAACCACCCATGACTGGGAATGGTAAACATACACCTATAAAAATGGTGATTTGGGGGATTGACTTTTATTATTGTTTTACCCACATTAGATAGAATATGGAAATGCCAAAGACAAACCTCACTGAAATGGGAAGATGTTTGAAAGTCCCATAGTCTATCTGCTTCAGAGGATGATTACTGTGTACATATACAACATACACATATTGTGGGATTGCATACCTCCTTTCATATAGGGGTTAATATTACCAACTATAAGGAATCCCTAATGATGATGGGATGAGCATACCTCATATATACCAGCTTTGACTGTGGCACATACGAACATGGGTGTGTACAAAAGAATAGGGATTTAACCACCATATGTATGGGGATCTAATGTGCTTATAATCAGTAAATGTCACTTTAACACTAGCAAACATTAGCTCGTTCAAACAGTTTCATGAGCTAAGACTACGGTTATCCCTCCAGTCTGGTGGTAGCAACCCCCGTGTGACTCATGAAATCCCCTGGAGTCTGCAGCTCATCGCAGCTCTGTTCCAAGGAGAGCTGCGAAAATTGCAAGCTCTTCAGGCTGAGGCCAGGCTGAAACCCCCCAAAGCTATGCAAGTTGGTTACAGTTGGTTTGTCTGAAATTGTGGCCAATATTAATTGGGGTGTAACATGGTGTACACAGTACTGATGGGATAAGAATTGGTAGTATATGCTGGTATAACCAACAAACTTGCATTATCTTTGGGTTTATCATGCTTTATCATGCTTTATCATGGTTCATCTATCGATGTGGTAATGATACCCCTAAAGTGGCCCATATTAGGGAACAATGATGATTAATTAGTGGACTTGAGGGTGCCCATGGGTGCCCTATGGTACCCCGATGATAGATCAAAACCATTTATTCCGCGTAAATTTAACAAGGACCTCATTGCTACCTCACGACCTGCGGATGGTTGGGAGTGGGGGAACCACCCCACAATCACCATCTTTTTGGGGTTGAAAACGTGATGCTGGAGGTGTGTTTAGCGTGAAAACCTACGAAACACTGAAACCATCCATTTGATGGAGAACATAGTCTTAAGCCCATAACATCCCATAGCGATTGGCGATGAGATTCCATACCAAATCTAACAGATTTTGGCTATGTGTAGTCATCCGTTATTCCAACCCTTAGACCAAACTACTGCTAGCAGGGTACCGGTTTGGACTCTGGTCCCCAACATTTTAGATCCAAAAAGGAGCAGCCAAGTCGGTTCCTACATTTCCAGGTGTTTGGGGAGACACCAGGAGACACCCTTTGCTACCTATTGAGGTGTTATATAATGTTATATAATAGTTGTATCCTCCACTTCATTCGGTGCTAATTCTATCCACACATTTATCAGTTGAATGTTACTGGGAAAAAATAACTTGACAAGTGACAATGGCCTCACTATCAACGGTGGTTGACTCATTGGCTGGGGAAACATTGCCAAACTGGCTTTCAAACGATATTTATATGCTTTTATATGTCTTTATACCTAGATATTCATTGGTTACAAATTTCTTTCCAGGGCAGATTTTGGTTTGATTTCTGACCATTTTTTGGAGATTTACCCATTTCAAAATAAAAATGACAATTTCAAGAAAAAACATGCCACTTCATGAGTCATGATGAATCTGCCCGGGCATTTCCGCCCTTTTCCCGGGTATTTCTGCCTTTTTCCCGGGAATTTCCGCCCAAAAAAATCGACACATTTTTACGCAAAGTAGAGTAAGATCAGCCCAAAAGGCACGAAATCCAAAATTAACCACAATAATCAAAAAGTGACCATTTCCAGCTCCTTCACAAGAAATCCGCCCTAAGGGCAGAAATCTTGGAAACGGACACTTATTTGTATCCTTTCGAACATCCAGGTATGTCTCTACGCCTATTTCATGCTTGCGAAACATGAATGAACCATTAATGAAACATGAATGAAACATGTATATACATAATTATGCATGTATAATGTATATATAAAAGTGTGCTCAACTTCATTTCTTTTGGCTTTCTCGCAGCGTCGCCAGGGTAACCGTCTGTCCCATTTGCCAGATTTCACCTCTTTGAGGCCTGGCTTTTGGGAAGCCCATGGATCAGGTGAGCCATCGGAGATATAATCCATCGCGTGATGTTTGGTGAAAGTGTAGGTATGACATGGCATGACTATTCATGAATATATCTATAAGAAATTTATAGATATATTTAATGGCCACAAATTGCAACTGTGTATGCATGCAACCGTATGCATAGATACACACAATAGCCACAAACATATCACGTGGATGCCCAGTTCCGCCCAGTTCACTGACGGACTTACAGCTCGAAGAGAATCAACTTGAGGTGTTGGGGTTATTCCGTCGATGCCGTGCGGGGAAAGCCCATGAACCCCCCAAATTTCATGGGAATACGCTCATTTTCAGACAAGCCCGGCTGGTGGCATTGGAATGGGGGACCCCAATTGAGTTGACCCCATTCCGATAAGCTCACAGAAATGGATCGTACTCGCAGATGGTACTTATTGATGGGAGTGGGATTAAAAGCTACCCTGAACGGGGGTCCCATCATTGGAGTTCCCTGGAAGTGCGTCATATCCGTCACAGGAGTGTTTTTATTGTTATCCAATGGATTGCAAGCAGCAGATTTTCTTCATACCCAACAAGGTCCAGATGTCCCCAAAGGCCTTCACCAGGAACGGAGTTGAGCCCTTGGAAAGTCTGTGTCTATACTTCTGTTATTTGTTTTGCAGTTTCGTTAGTGTATTCTAAATTTGTCTTGTGACCCTTGAGATTTATAGATACAATACTACCGTATATATTGCTGTGATCGTCCTCGTGTTCAAATGTCCTATAATACACTAAAGTCATCTAAAGTCTTTGTAAGTCGTGCAAACCACATGTCTACATGTACCAAGAGTACCCAGAGTACATTCTTGTCGGTTTCTGTTCTGGAATCCATTCTTGTTGTGGTGTAATACAGGCTACCACCAAACCAGAGGTTGTTACCTGACGATTCTTCTGCATGAATTTGTGCAAGGTTTGAACAATAGCTCTATGATTCTATGATGCTCTATGATGCTCTATGTTCTTTGCCTCCCTATTTCTTACATGACACCCATGTTGCATCATACTGCTGAATCCCAAGATGTTTCTTTTCTGATCTTGGCCGGACTGGAGGCTCTTCCAGAGACCTTCGGCCAGCTGGCCGCGTTACAGCGTGCTTTGGCGTTGAATTATGATAAATTATGTATAATTACACATGGGCACATTCCACACAGACCTATATCCTGTATCTTGGAAACCATTTCATAGAAAGCCAACTTGTTTATTGGGATCCCCAACCAACAATGCTCTCGCAAGCTTCACTGAGGCTTATCCTTGGACTTCAACTTGCTGCCAGCATCCCAGCTGCGGCTTTGAGATGAGGGAGACATGCCAAATCTCCAATTCCAAAAGCATGGATGAAGCTATTTATGCTCCTAAAAAACTGGCTGAATGGTTGGTAAAGTTTGCGTTCTGTGTGCACTGCTCTGCTTATGGAGTTGATGGAAAAATACAAAGGATGTCAAAGGCCAACCCTTCGGCCATAGCTTCGGTAGCGTCCCAGACATTGGAGACCAAGCAACATGCGAGTCCTTGCGAGTCTGATCACCTAAACGATCAGAAATTCCGGAACATAATTAACATAGTATGGGTTTAAAAACAAAGTAAGAATAGGATGTTTGTTTCTTTGCTTGGAACTTGTGGAGAGCAAGTAATGTGTTGTCGATATAGTTGCCAAAATGGCTATGCCATTTTGGCTCAAGTCTTGCCCCTAGCGACTAAAGCATCACGAAAAAGTCCCTGCCTTCTTTCTTGCCCATGGCTGCTTCGAGCCCAGTGGTGTGCGAACAGGGAACAATCGCCTCTTTCTCCCTCGTGGGGAGATGTCGCAGAAGGGGAGACTACATGCTGATTGAAATGCCAGAAACTGAGGCTGCGCCAGCCGAAGTTGTGCCGGAGTTTGACGTTGATCCCAACCTCACGAAGCAAACCCTCGACAACCAATTAGCAGAAATGATCTTCGCCATTTCTGCTAATTGGTTGTCGAGGGTTTGCTTCGTGAGGTTGGGATCAACATCAAACTCCGGCACAACTTCGCTCTTCTGGATGACCAGACGATTGCCCCCAAGCCTTCTGGCACAAATTGCAAGCGTCGTAAGACCGATCTTTAAGCCACCTAAGGTCCACTGGAGCCAGGTGGCTGCGACTGACTTTCTTTTACCAGTGGTGTTTTCCCACCTTAACCCATTTCTGGATTCTTCTCTGCCCGAGCTGATAACTCCAGCGGGTTGGGTGGATAAGATGCGTGACACCACCACTGTCTTTTGGGGTTTCTGATGGAAACCTGTTTTTGCGATTGATGCGTTTGGCATCTGACAGAAACCCAGCCGCACAAGCCAACTGCATAGCAAAAGTGATGTCTGTCTTTTGCAGTTGCTTGTGTGTTTTTGACATTTTCAACTCTATTCGGGAACACATAATGATGTATATACAATGTTATACAATATCCATACTGTAGCTTGAAAAAGAACTGTTGCTTACTACTATGGCCCCACTGAAAACCGCAAATTTGGGCAATCCCCCAGTTTTGAAGAAACCCGCGAGCAAACTTAGCCCCACAAGGTGCAAGGCCATTGGTGGGTTAGGTTTTGCGACCCAAGGCGCAGCCTGCCAGAAAACTTTGGTCGCCTGCGGTCGTTGCAGAAGCAGGGGCGCCCAGCTTTCTTTCTCATTTTTATGGGACATGGGAAGCAGCCACGCCGGTAATTTCACATGAAAACCCAAAATGCATCAAAATATATAAAAATGGTCGAGTACTACTGTAAGTTTTTGTCATCTTCCACATGTAGTAAACGTGATCTCCCGAATCAGGTTGGGTTTGCTGTACATGTGAGATTCCAGCTGGTGGAAATGGGAGCGTGGCAGAGCCTAGTCCCATCTGGATCCAACCTTCGCAGAGGCTCCGCCTAGTAAAGAATCTGCTGGAAAGTCTTCCGCAAAGCTTCGGAGGCCTCAGCAGTTTAAAGGCCTGGCCTGGGCTGCCGGGTTTTATGCGGAGGAATTGGGATTTGACATGCTTTTGCAACCACCGAAAGTAGCTTGATGGGTGCAGACTTCGGAACCATTTCCGCATGTCACCGTTAGCCGTTAGCCATGTATAATCAGTCTCACCAGTCCGTAGGACCTGTGGCTCACCGGCAATCGCTTGCAAGATCTTCCAGAGAGCTTTGGAGGTCGAACTTGTGGATGATCATCCCGTGGAATTCGGGGTACCCCATTCAGACAAAGCATGATAAAACCACATTGAATTTCGAGAATCCCTGGTAAACCATGTTAAACCATAGTCGTCCATACTCGGTACCAACCCATGCTTCACCATAAGCGGCCAGGGATAAACTGGCGTTCATGTTGTCTTTGCAGTTGAGCTCTTCAAAAGTTTTTTTTGACAATAAATGAAATGCGTGTCAACATGTGTCAACCATTCTTTGGTTGCTAGGTCTGTCAAAGCTGCAACAGCGAGGGGCCTCAGGTTCTTCTGTGAAGGTGACCCAAAGAATATTGTTCCAAAATGGTTCTACTTGATTGTCCTACTGTGGACGGAAGAATCCTGCACCACCTTGGATGGTTCAAACCCTATGAAGAATGGGATAAACCACCTATGAACGGGTGGAGGATTTCTTCCATCCACAGTAAATCATGTTTGCATATGTTTGCATCAATTGCATTCAATTGCCAGATTCAAAATTAGGCAATTTCAAAATGGCTCGTTGGAATTCGGTTTACATGGATGGTATAGTTTTTTCTTGGCCAAAGACACGAAGAGAGCTGGGTGGCACTGTGTGGTCATTGCAAGTCATCCCAACTTCTGGCCAGCGCATCAGTCGGACCAAAGGTGAAACAGCCCATGGTTTATGAATCCGCAATCAGCATTCGACAGTCGACTCATGTTGACTCTATGTACATTTAAATTTAAATGGTTGGTCTTATACTTATCTTATTGAGTACTTTCAATATTCTTGCATCTTGTTACTTACGATGTGCTCTTGTGTCCCCTACTTTCGCTGAAATCTATCTTCATTCCGAACCATTTTTCCAGGTCATAGACCATTTCGTAGTATAGATTCTCATGCCCCAGCCGCCTGAAACAAAATACTGGCGTACCCTTTCTCGATATCATATTTCACGTTCAGCTAGGGGGCGACTAGCAGTGAATCCAGAGTATGTCCAAAACAAACTTGTGTGGCTTCAGTTGCTTCTTTGTTTTGTTTTGTGTCTTATCTCTTTTAAAGTGGCCTCTTGGTTTTGTGGTTTTCTCGCTTCTTGGCTCTAAAAAAAGGGTCAAAATCAGGGTACCAATTCACCTACGTTACAAGACTGCTGAATTAACATGACACATTAAACCATCCACCTTTGGTGGGTTGATAATCTTGACCCATACCCATATACAAACTTGGGGAGGTATGGTACTGATACAATACTGATATCCTGCTGGTATGCCCCAAAAAATATACTTCATGCTCTTTTCTTTTTTACTAGTATCAGGTTTTGTCTATACGGGGGGTTCCACAAATGGGATACCTTCAATATCCTTCAATAGCTGGATGGTTTATTTCATGGAAAATCCAAATCTCAAATGGAGGATTTAGGGGTACCTCCCATTTATGGACCCCCCTATATCATAGTGAAGATGTTGATCCCCCAACCGGGCCATCTTCGCCATGTCCTTCCACTGCTGGACTGCCTCGAAATCTCAGGCTCCGATTGGGGGGCAACCGGCTGCTGCGACTACCCGAGAGCTTTGGGCAGCTCAAGGCCTTGAGGCAACTGGCTTTGGAGGCGCGGAGGGCATGGGGATATCATGGAGATATACTGTATGTAGATGTATATAGATGTATATAGTATATAATAGAATATAGTATATAACATTACGCAATATTTGCATAATGCATATAATATATATATATATATGTTATACAATGGGGATAGTCAATGGGAAAGAAAGGGATATCACCAGCAATGGAGTTTGTCTCCATCCCTAACTTTACCCGTAAGAACCAGCTGGATGGGTATTTTAACACAACTGAATCTGTTGCCATAAATGTGGATATATAACTTAAACCAACTGCCAGCTATTTTTTTGCGGCAGTGTATATGAGATCAGCCATGATTAGATCAATTAGATTCAACTACTTAGGAATTCATGGTTCCGTACCTTCGGATATGTTTAACTAAAGGTGTTAACCAATTAAACCTGCAGATTCAAGGCATTCAAGGCATTCAAGGCATTCAAGGCATTCAAGGCATTCAAGGCATTCAAGGCATTCAAGGCATTCAAGGCATTCAAGGCATTCAAGGCACCGAGGCTGGTCTCAACTTGGGGAAGCAGCCCAGACATCCAGGAGAACCTCCTGCAGACTTTGCCGTGCTCCTTTTCTCAGCTCAGCTGCCTGCAGGCTGGGCTGCTTTGACGTGGCTAGAGACAGACGGAGGGCATCATGCAGTGAACATGAAAGCAGCGGTGTTGTTTGTGATGTTTGTTGTTTTGGACTGGCCAAGCAGTTCTGGGTTCATAAAATGCTTAGACTTTTTTCTGGCTACCGAATTGTGGAATTTACCGAGTTGTCAAGTACAGTAGTCTCATCGAATTGTTGACTCTACCAGAACAGGTCCTGAATCTGGACAGTGGGGGGACTGAGCATGTATGAAACTGCATCAGAGGCAGCAATTTTGTTGACGCGTGGATTCGATGTTATTGATATTCTGATACATTTTGATCCCAAAATAATGGAGATACCTGCGCTGAGTGAGAATCTCACAAAATAGGCCCTGTTGTGGTTCGAATTTAAAATCCCTTTGTTTTTTTCTTTCAGTTGCAATCGTAATTGTAAACACCAAGCTGACAGCATCAGAACTGAGGCAACCGCTTCGCGGAGTTTCCAGAATGCCTAGGTGCGTCTGGGATGACTGGTATTGGTCAAAAGGCGTTTTAACGGAGTCGGGACCAAGAGTCTTTATGCTGTTCTATCGCCATCTATATAGTCAGTGTTTGGGGATGGGGCATAGAAATTGCAGCTTTGGGTTGGTCATTTTTGATAGCACACCATTTGCTTTTTCTTTTGGACCCCCATTGGACTTGACCCTAACGGCAGCAGGTCTCAAATGCCTGGAGAAGTTGTGGATTGGCAACAATGTTTGGGTCTCAGTTGGGTCTCAGTTGAGGAAGCATTCCATAGATCATGCAATTTTATGATCACATGTTTAGATCCATATCAAGCATTATCAATCCATATAATGCTGATATACATCCATGCATCCATCCATCCATCTATCCATCCATACATCCATCCATACATCCATCCATACATCCATCCATGCATACATCCATCCACCCATCCATCCATCAATACATCCATGCATCCGTCCATGCATCCATCCATCCATGCATCCATCCATGCATGCATCCATCCATGCATACATCCATCCATACATCCATACATACATTCATCCATACATCCATCCATCCATACATCCATCCATACATCCAGCCGCCAATACATCCATACATCCCTCCATCCATCCATCCATGCATCCATCCATCCATCCATGCATCCGTGCATACATTCATCCACCCATCCACCCATCCATCCATCCATACATCCATCCATCCATCCATACATCCATATACATCCGTCCATGCATCCATGCATCCATGCATCCATCCATGGATCCATCCATGCATGCATCCATCCATCCATACATCCATCCACCCATACATCCATACATCCATCCATACATCCACCCAAACATCCATCCGTCCATACATCCATACATCCGTGCATACATCCATCCAGCCATCCGTGCATACATCCATCCATCCATCCATCCATCCATTCATCCATCCATCCATACATCCACACATCCATTCATATATCCCTCCATCCACCCATCTATACATCCATCCGTACATCCATACATCCGTCCATACATCCATCCATCCATGCATCCATCCATGCATACACCCATCCATCCATACATCCATCCTTACATCCATCCATCCAGCCATCCGTGCATACATCCATCCATCCATCCATCCATCCATCCATCCACACATCCATACATCCATCCATCCATACATCCATCCATACATCCAAACAGGCATCCATCCATATCCATCCATCCCTCCATCCATACATCCATACATCCGTCCATACATCCGTCCATACATCCATCCATCCCTCCATCCATCCATACATCCATCCTTATATCCATCCATCCATGCATCCATACATCCGTCCATACATCCATCCATCCATCCATCCATTCATCCATCCATCCATCCATCCA